AAGATGACTTCTATGATGACGACTCGTCGTCGTCGTCGTCGTTTAAATGATTCTCGCATTTCTTGGTCTCCTTCTCCTTTGCGAGTGTATTCAAATAAAGCTCTAAAGAGTTCTCGGATTCCGAAAGCGGTGCCTTTTTATTGATGTTTTTATTCAAGTTGGTGGTTTCGCCCTGCGGGCGGAGGACGTAGATTGGAGCGGTATACGCGGTCGTTTTGTCCCCCCAATTTTTCTTTCCTTTCTTTCTTTTAATCGACGCGGTTTCTACTTCTTCTTTTTCTTTTTCTTCTGCTACTGCTACTTTACTCGAGGACCAACTCGTATCTTTCAAGTGCTGCTGTTGCACGTGGTTTCGTAACCCGAGCGAACGACTAAACTTTCTCAAACACACGCGACACGAGTACGGTTTAAACCCGGTGTGCTGTCGTTCGTGCTTATTCAAATTGCTCGAGGAAATAAATCGTTGGTCGCAATACGCGCACGCGTAAGGTCTTTCTCCCGTGTGCACTAATCCGTGCTTTTTCAAATCCGTGCGACGAGAAAATTCTTTCCCGCATTTTGGAACCGGGCATAAATACGCTTGCTTCCCTTCGTGTTCGACGCGAACGTGCGCTGTTAAAAGATGTTCCTTCTTGAAAGTTTCCGCACATATATCGCACGAGAACGGGAGTGAGAGTGTATTCGTCATGCGGTAGATGCGATACCAACACGACCGACAGCATTTTTCCCCGACGTGCGGTCCGACATACCTCGTCGGAAGGTTCACCAACTCGGGCGCGTCTTTTTTAGTATTCCTCTTCGTCGCTCTCTTTTTGTCTCCTTTGCACTCGCCAGCTGCTACGAACACGCATTGCAACACATCGTGATTAGTGATTTTATCCATACTAACACCTTGAAAAGAACTTTTCGCGTCGCTCCCAAGCGCGAGCGCGAGCGAATTCATCAAAGGCATTTGTAAGAACGCGTTCCTCGCTTCTGCGGTTGCAGTTTGCGCGTCCGGTAATTCGGTGCACGCCAATAAAATCGAGCGCTGGAGCGCAATCATCAACTTGATCTCCGTATTATTAGTATCATCAATGTTATTATCATTATTATCAGCATCATTATTATTCTGTCTTATTCCTTCTACTTTCGGTTTTAGTTGAGGAGGAGGCTCCTCCTCTTCCCTCGACAGTTTGTTCGCGTCGTCTTCAACGTCACCGTCTGAGGAGGGAACCGCGCCGAGATTTTCCTCTTCGAGCACGGACGAGGACAACAACAACATCTCCGCGCCCATTTTAGAGAGTTTCCGTCGTCGTTCGAGTTCATTTTCATCTCGGTCGCACCCGTCTTCGTTCTTTCCCGCTCTTTCTTCTTTGTCTTCTTCTTCGAGTGGTGGTGTTCGGGATCGTTTTTTTCCGGGGTACTGGAAATCGTACGCCACAAAACAACGTTTCGGGTTCTTCGACTTCTGCCTCATCAAATTTTTCTTAATTAAAACGAGAAGAACACTTTCAAGACAACCTCTCTTTTCTTTTACGGATGATGATGATGACGATGATGATGACGATGCATCTCTTTATTCACACCAAGCAAGAAGTGCGCGTTCTTTCAACAAATGATGATTGTGAGAGGACATCATCTTTTTTTTCTTAATCCAAATTGTTTTTATGTGGGGGGACCTCTAAATTTCTTTTTTGCATTCTGGCAGATGAGGTTTTTTTTTTTTGGTCTTCTTCTTGAAAATTCTTCTGCTGTCTGGGAGGAGAAAACACATGAAAAAAATTCACTCGACACGAGAGGTTTTCTTCTGTCTGTCGAGAAGAGAAAAGTTCTGTTGCACAAAACGTCTCTCATCATCATCATCATCATCATCATCATCATCATCAAATCATCTCTTCAAAAAATCGACTTTGACGACGATGATGATGCGCGCGCACACAACAACACCGATGAAAATGGTGAGAGGCAGAGTTTCTTCTTCTTCTTTTTGTTCTTCTTCTTCTTCTTCTTCTTCTTCTTCTTCTTTGTCGTCGTCGTCGCGTTTCCTTTTCCAACGACCCCGAAAACAACACACTTTGGCTGCTTCAAAGGGGAGGAAGAGGCGAAGGCGGAGGACATCATCGCCACCACCGTCGAAAGCGGGAGGCGTTTTTTACGACGACAAAAACGATTCGAACGACAAAAACAACAAAAACAACACACCACCGATGCAACAGAAAGTTTTGACGAGATTTCTCGAGCTTCCAACGGTGCCAATCGGGCAATACGTGGCCTCTCCAACCTCGTATTTACACAAGTTGGATTCGAGACTGAAACAGGCGTGGTTGGTGGCGTTACTTTTGTGTCCGTCTATGGCGAACGAACCGGTGGAGAGAGTGTGCGTGTGTCTTTTTCTCGTCTTGGCTTCGGCGACGAGTTTACCGAGGAAAGTGTGGGGGTCACACACGAGGAATTTAGGCGTGTTAGCGCTGGCTTTGTTCGTGTTTGCGGCGATCGGGAGCGACGGGGTGCCGCTCTTGACGCAACCGAGAGAACCGGCGGCAGCGTTGGAAGGGTTGGAGAACGTGGAGGGCATAGCTTTGTTGACGAGTTATAAGTACGCAATTTTGAATTTTGGACCGATTCACGTGACGAGGAGAGGCGTGACGATTGCGACGAACGCGGCGTGCGTGACATTTACGGCGTTGCAGTCGGCGCACATGGCGTTGTGCACTACGACGCCGGAATCGTTGGCGTTTGCCATGCGCTGGTACTTGACGCCGTTGAAGAAGGTATTTAAAGTTGAAACGGACGAGATTGTGTTCACGCTGTTGTTGGCTTTAAGATTTACATCGATCGTGTTCGAGGAGACGAGGAATTTAAGCTTAGGGTTAGCTTCTAGAGGTTTAGATTGGAAGAATTTAGGATTTCGAGGGTCCATCGACGTGTTCATGCAATTGTTGGCGAGATTGATGGATTCGTTGTTTGCAAACGCAAAGGCGATTTCAGAGGCGGCGGAATCGAGAGGATATAATAGTAATAGCGACGACGACGATGATAACGATTTTTTCGATAACGAACGAGGTTACGGGACGCAAGATAACTCCAAATCGTACTTGAGGATTGAGAATTACGTGGGCACGTTTTTGTTGTGCGCGTTTGTGTTGCACTTTTCTGATTTTCACGTCGCGAAGATGTTTTCGAACGCGTAAAGAACAAAGTAAGTGAGTAGATGGCGTAGTTTAGATTGATAGTAATATAGATGTGGTTATAAGATTAGATTACAGTGTATGTGTGTGTATTAATTTAAATAGTATATAACAGCGCTCGCACGCGGATGATGATGAAGAGGAGAGATTTAGTTTTGTTCATCCTCTTTTTCTTCAATGACCTCCGGAGTGACTTGTTCAAAAATTTCCTTGGTTGACGCCTCGCCGGCCCAGGTGATTTCCTCCACCGCTGGTTTCTGCTCTATTTCTTCAACGACTGGGGCGACGGTTGAGTTTCTCATCTCGGCTTTCAACTCGTTCGCCGCGGCTAAGACGCTCTCGTCGACATCCTCGTCGTCGTCTCTCAACTCCGTGACGCTCGCGCCGTTCATCGCCGAGCTTTCATCTCCGCCGGGCTTTTGGAACACGAAAGTCTTTGAAACCCACGCCAACTCTTCGGCTTCACAGTCTAACCCGCCAACTTCTTTAAACAAGTTCTTCAAGTCCAACTCGGAATACGCGCGGTAGTACGGTTCGTGGCTAAAAACTGGAAAGTTCTCCAACGCTTGGTCGATTTCTTTTTCCATGTTCATTCTCTTCCCGTCGCCTCTTTGCGCCGAGTCGACGAAGAACAACTTACCACCCGGTTTCAAAACTCTCGACATTTCTTTGACGACGTTCTTTTGCGCCTCTGGCGGCAATTCGTGGAACAAGTACACGCACGTGACCGCATCGAACGAGCCGTCCTCAAGAGTGCTCATATCTTCCGCGTTGGCTTCTAAAAGCGTCAACTTGCCGCCGTTCTTGTCGAACGCTTTGTGGTTGTCTCTCGTTTTTGCTAAATAAAACGGACTCAAATCTTGCGCCGTGCACTCCAATTCCGGGTTGTTATCTCTGACAAACGTGAGGAATCGCCCGGTGCCCGTGGCCACGTCCAACAACTTTGCGTTTTTCCTTTGCGACTTCAAGTACTTGTTTAAGTGCGGCAAGCATCGTCGTCTCATGGCATCCGCGGAGCCTAAAAACAAAGTCTCGACTTGGAAATCGTACAATCTCGCGGACTCGTTGGACAACCACCCGTCGGTCTGGTAGTGGAAGTTTTGCGCGTAGTACTTCGGGTACCTTTTCTCGTCGATTTCAAACGTGCTCAAAAGATCTTGCCCGCCGTCTTTGCGTTGCCTTCTCGGTTGCACTTTTTGTTGTTGATCGCGAATGTTGTCTCTGGAAATTCTCAACACTTGCAATAAGTTCGTTTGGTAGGACGGCGCGGTAACCGGGTTCATATCGTACGGAAACTTGTACTCTTCGTTTTCGATGAGTTCCATTTCTTCTCTGAACACGCTCAAAATAGCGGACATGTGCGCCTCGAGAAACGCAGAAACGTCTCTCGCCGCTTCTTCCGTCATGCCTTCGGATTCTTTTTCCGGGGAGTTACCGGCTGTGGTTAAGTTTGCATCCGCAGCTCTGACCATTGGTCGAATCGTATCTTCAAATGGTTTCGTGTCGATGTTATTTTCTTCCAACAAAATCTTCGCCACGGCGCTCGCCACGCCGACGCCGTCCACGTCCGCTCGAGACCCGCCTCTGGAAGCGACAACCCCGTTCGTTAAAAAGAACAAGAATCGCGCCGATACAGCGGCGGTATATTGCGCTCTGAAGACGTTCTTTTGAACGTCTTTCGGGATGGAATCTTCCATGGTTTTCGCAAACTGTCGCGCGATTTGCGCGATGGCGTCTTGTTGTTGCGAAGAAGAAGAAGGCGAAGAAGAGGAAGAGGAAGAAGACGCATTTGGCAGCTCAAGTTTCGGTAACTCTGGCAACTGCGGTAAATCAATCGTCCCGAACGGCGTTTCAATTTTGTTCGACGACGACGACGACGAAGGTGCTTCCGTGTCCACGGCGTTTAATCGAAAATTGGATGCTCTTTTCAAACCACTCGTTACGCCCATTTCAAAGGCATTCGCTCTCGCGCGCGTCGTCGTCGTCGTTAATGGATTACTCCTCTTCCACGAAGGTGCCGCCGTTGTGTTTTTCGCCCACTTTTGAGCGGCTGCTTTGACTCGCCTCGTCGACGCGAACGGCGGAGTCGTTTTTGTCGTCGTCGTGGAATTCGTCATCGCGAGAACAGAAGAAGAAGACAAGGAAGAATACATCATCTCGCGTCGAGCGTGTGTGTGTGAGTGTGTGTTCGTGAGAAGATGTGCGACGCACGAATGGAAGTGAGGATGGGATGTCGTCACCGTTTTTTTTTGGATTTCTTCTTATTTTTCTCTCGCCAGAGCCACAAGTTTTTAGACGGCCTCGTAAATCACCAAACAACAAACCGAACGACGAGAGATGAGCAAAATCACGCAGAAAAGAAGGAAAAAAACAAAACGGAGGGACGAAAAAGTTGAAAGTTGAGAGAGAGAAAGAGATCATACGTAGAACGCTCGTCATAAACATCGGCGTCCTCGCATCATTATTATAAATAAATAAATAAATAAATAAGTTTTTGATTGAATCGTGTTGTTGAATCCTCTCTCTTCTCCTCTTCTTTGAAATGCTGCGCGTTCAGTTAGTTCAACTCCTCCTCGGCGGCGAAGGCGTTCGCGCCTAAACTTTCGCCGCTTTCACTTTTTGATTCTTTTTGCTTGAGAATATCCATCGCCTTCGCCTCGCGGACTTTTAAGCGCCACTTTTGAACTTTCGCGTTGGCATATTTCGCCGCGTGCACTTTCACCTTTAACGTCTCTTCTTTCTCTTTCAGCTCGATCGTTTTCTTCTCGCACATCTTCCTCGCGTCCGCGTTGCTCTCGAACGTCACGAAACAAAAACGTTCTTGGGACGGTTGAAAAACCCTTTTGATCTTCACCTCGAACGTTTCTTCCAAGTAGGTTTTCAAATCGAACGCGTTCGTCGAAAAAACCGCGTCTTTGTCTTTAACGCTTTTATCGTTATCATCATCGCCGTCGTAATCGATAACCACCGGGTTCATTTCCTTCTCGAATTCATTCTCGACGTTAAAATCACCCTTCCCGAGATCGCCTTCTTTCCATCCTTGTTTCGCCAAACGATTTCTCTCCGTGCCTTCGTGTTCGAACCCAGTCCCGACGATGTCTTGCAAAGGAAGTCCCAGTGGTTGGACGCACGCCATTTTTTATGTGTATATCTTCTCACGCAACGAATGAGAGGGAAGAAGAAAGAATTTTTGTGTCGTTGTCTCGCATGTGTTTTCTTTTTATTTTATAACATCAGAAAAGAAAAACAAGCGTTTTCGTCCTCGTCCTTTTCGCTCGAAAAAAGATAAAATTTTTTCCTTCTCGTGTCGTCAGTCTTTGTGTTGCTCTTACCCTCTCACCAATTTATTGAAGAAAATGAGCGCGACGACTACGACGACGACGTGTTCGCGCGCTGCTGCCGCTGCGTTCCACCGACCAACTCTCATCAAGAATTTTGCCCCGACGAAGGCAGCGCCTGCTGCTCGCGCTGCTCTCAAAAAAAGAGCGCAGTTGAGAGGAATTGGTCTCGTCGCGCAATCTGAATTGGACGACGGCGGGAATTCTTCTCTCGGGAAGGCAACGACGTCGGCGGCAGAAGTTGGTGACGATTCAGACGACGAAAAGGACGAACAAAGCAGCAACCAAAGAGGGGCTTCTTTGTCTTCTCGAGAGAGGTTGAGACAAGCTTTGAACGAAGAAATCGATGGCGCCATGCGAGAAGTTTCCAGAGCGCAAACTGAAGAGGAACGACGACCTGCTGCTGCTGCTGCTGCTGCTGCAGTTGCTCCAGAGATAAAACAGATGAGATTCGAAGAAGAGGAAGATTTTTATCCACTCGAGGAAGAGAGACCGCCGAGAACGAGGAGAGGGTTGGAAGAACTCGAACGTCGAGAGAGAGAACGACGAGCGACGAGGACGAGGACGACGACCGCGAGAAGGAGAAGGCCATCGTCTTCTGCGCGTGAAGGCGAAGAGATGACGACGACGAGAGAACGACGAGTGAGAAACGACGCGTCTTCTTCGTCATCTTCCGGTGGTCGAAGAAAAAGTAAACAACAACCAATCAACAATAACAACAGCAGTGACGTGTTCACATTAACGCGTTCACAGTTGATGGGTAAAGAAGTTGTCACCAGAACCTCCGGAGTCCGTTTAGGCCAGTGTTCGCAAATGTGGGTGGACGCCGAAAACTGGACAGTCGAAGCGTTGGCGATTCGACAAAACGCGTTAACCGGTGGCGTAGATCACGTGAAATTATCCGCTTTGCGACAAGTCGGCGACGTTGTGTTAGTCCACGATGAAAATGCAGTCGAAAGACGATGGTCATCGTATAATTTGAGTCCATTGATTGGTTGCGACGTGATTACCGAGGCTGGGGCCTTTATCGGACGCGTGCGAGACTACGAGTTCGATCCAGAAGACGGCTCTGTCAAACGACTCATCGTCGACGCGTGGGGGATATCGGCTATCCCAGACGATGTTATCTCTACCTATGCAGTCGATGTGAGAGAGGTGATCGATGCCGGTCGCGAACGGATTCTGGTTGAAGACGGATGCGAACAAAGAGTCGAACAACTTTCTGTGAGTTTGTTACAGAGGTTGGAGTTAGCCGGTACGCCGTGGGAAGAAGAAGAAGCATTTTTACAAGATCCGTATTACAACAACGAATCGAGCAGGAGAGGTGTGGGGAGAAGAACGACTTCCTATTACGACGAATACGAAGAAGAGGAAATGATTCGGTACGAGCAAAGAAGACGAAGACAAAGAGAGCAGCAACAACAACAAAGTCGAAGGAGAGAACCGCAACGACAACAACAACGGGAGAGAAGGAAAGAAGGCATCCCGCTCATGCGTCCGACGCAATCGTACGAACGAATGGATGCCGATGGTAAACGAGGCTCGCGACCTCAGTTTGATGCGTACTTAGATCCAGTCGACAGACCGTACGAGTACGAGGAAATCTCAGGTGCGCCTCGCGAGCGAAGAGCGAGCGCGAGTAGGCGCTTGGACGAACCTTCTTCCTCTTCTTCTTCGAGTCGAAGGCGAAGACCGGCGAGCGATGACTATTTATAGCGGATAAAGTTTTTTGCTGTTGTATACATATATTTTATTGTTTTTAAATACAATACGTGATGATGTTCGTGATCGCGCTGCTTTTACTTCTGCTCGACCGATAAGTTTGGGCTACAATCAACCTTTACGTCTCCGTTCTCGTCAAATATCTCGCACTCTTCGTGAGAAGGCGTCATCGTCCGGCACTCCATGCTCCCGTCTGGTTGTTCACAGCAATACATCTCCACGCCGTTCGTGTCCTTGTCCACGTACCCGACTAAACACGGTTCAATTCCAGCTTCTATGTTGTAATCATCATCCACTTTTCTTTGTTGTTGTTCTGATTTTTGCGCGTTCGTTACGAAGGATCGTCGAGTTTGATTTTGCTTTTGATCGCGCGCTCTTTGGGAAGCCGTGATGGTGGTGCGCGATGACAAAACCGGTAAGAAGAAGAGCGCAGAGGAGGAATGAAAAGCGAACATATTAACTTTATTAAATGTATAAAGTACTACCGGTAAAATATGCGCGTGCTTTCCTTATGAATTGTGGTGTACTTGTTTCAAAGAAGAATTGAAGAAGAAATCTGACTTTTGATTTTTTGGACTTTTCTCTTGAAAAGGCGTATTATAGGGGGGAACTCTTTAATTCGTACAAGAAAGAATGAGTTCGTTCTTTCATTTCAATATGTATTAGTAGTAGTAGATGTAGCGCTATATTCTCTTTATTCCTGGATGGTAGTATACAACACAGAGAGCGCGTGTGTTTTTCGTGATTTTCTTATTACTTTCTTTCTTTTGCGGGCTTCTTCTTTATATTTTCGGAAGTGGCACTCCTCGAGGAGCGCTCACCGAAACTGGAGAAGAGATATTTATTTTGGCGTCGCGCAAACTACTCGCGCGTTTCCTTTGAAAGGTACAACATTTTCTTACGTTCACGTCCGTCCATTCACGGCCGCATCGCTCGCCTCGCTCGTATTTGCGCCCCCGAAATAATACTTCATATCCGCGGCTAAACCGTCTTGAAACCAGTTATTCGGCACCCAGGTCTTGTCGTACGGATCGTACCAACTCAACCGCGGTTTCACTTTCTTCTTCTCGTCGTAAATCAAAACGTCTCGTAAAAAGGCGTTGTCTTTAGCCATCCGACTGATTGGTAACGCGTGTGGGATTTTTGGGACGTATATATCTCCATTCTGCTGTGTTGTTTTCTGTTGTTCTTGTTGTTGTAATTTGCCTCGGCGAGAGTACTCTTGTTCGATCGCATCGAGGGCGGGACCGAACGAAGTGCCAATTGTTTTCGCCACGTTTCCTAACGGCATTTCGTCCGAGTATTTCGCATCGAACATGGAGAATGATTTCGAAAGCGTTTGGTTCGTGCTCGAAGTGTACGCCTGTTCGTTTAAAAAGGAGGAAAGAGAGAGAAGTGAGCGTTCAAAACCAACGACAACCCGCGAGGTTTTTCTCAAAATAATAATTGTGACTCGTCGTCTCACAAAATGGAAAAAGCGAGTTGATACGAAAATGTCTGTTACTATACACGTACCGCTCGCGCTGCGTTCACGACGGCGTCAAACGAGCGTCTCCGCGTGGTAGTAACAGACGCGTGTCGCAACATGTTGATTCTTCTGTCGCTGTGTAAAAGAGTGCTTTTGAAAGGTTTTTGTAAGACAAAGATCGCGCGCGCGATGTCTGAATGACGTTGTGACACTTTTTTTTTCAAAGTCAAAAAGCTGACTCGGATTATTAAACACAAGGTTTTCTCTTCTCTGATATTTATTTATTTATTTGCAACCCTAAATAATACCCTAAATTGCCTCTTTGGGATTATCCTGCTTACTTTTTGTAAGGAGGACAAAAAAGGACAAAAGGAACAACACGTCCGCAGTTTAAACGCATTACACAAACGGCGCGCGCGGCAGAAAAAGTTTATTATTATGTCGAACAGCACGTCCGTCGTCGCGGGTACCGTCATCGTCGAAATCGTCGACGACGGGAGCTCCTTCCGCGGCGGCGGCGGCGGGCAAAATAATAACAGTAATACACACGCGAATACCACTAACGACGAACGTAATTATGAGAAAAGAGAAACGAGAGTGCGAAGATCTTCATCTGGACCTTCTTCAACGTCTCTCCCGACGACGACGAATAATAACAACGCTCAAACGCGAAGAGCGACGCGAGTGGTCCAAAACGCCACCGTGTTCGTGAACGAAACCGTGGAGCAGTTCTTGGAGAGGTGCTTGGATCGACGGAAGAGTCGCGACAAGGAAGATCTCATCAATGCGACGACGAAAACGACGATTTCTTCGACGTTTGGAACGGGCGGTGGGAAAAGAAATGTGTCCGTCCCGCAGCTCTTTTGGTCGAGTTGCCCTTTGAGCGTGCACGAACGCTTGGATAAGTTGGAGAGCACGAAGCCGTGGCAGTTGAATTTGAAGAAAGGCGATTCGAGATTGACTCTGAGGGTCAAAGACTTCCAGGAGTGGACGGTGAGCGTGAAGAGGATGACGAGCGCGAAAAACCCGCTCGTCGTTCCTCGAGCGGAAGAAAAAGAAAAAGAAAAAGGAGGAGACACAGGTGGGGTGGAAGAAGAGAACGCGGGGGAAGAAAAATTAGTTGTTTCTTCTTTGAAAAAAGAAGACGCGAACACAAAGAAGAAGAAGAAGAAGAAGAAGTCAAAGAAGAGCGAGGAAAAGGAGGAAGATGTGGTGATGGTGGGGGAAGAAGAGATCGCCGCCGAGAACGTCGTCAAAGAAGAAGACAAAGAAGAAGAAAAGAGGAGGGAAATGCAACAACAACAAGAACAACAAGAACAAAATCAGGGTCAGGTTGCCCTTCCTCACGAGGAGGCTCAAAAAAGAATAGGAGGAAACGGCTCTTTTGTTTTAAATAAAGAAGAAGAAGAGAAAGGGCAGAAAAACAAAAAGAGCGACGGAGAAAACGACGAGGAGGACAAAAACAAAGAAGAGAAAGAAGAAGAAGAAGACGAGAAGACGAGAAGTGCTTTGACGACGACGGCGATACACGAGAAGAAAGAGCCGGAAAGTGGAGAAAAACGACCCCGAGCAGCAGCAGAAGATGAAGGTGATGATGAAGAAGCGCGAGCGCGAGAGCGCCTTCTCGGCAACGCGGAAGATGACAAGGCGAAGGACAAAAACGACGATGAGGATGACGATGAAAACTTGAACGAAATGCAAAAGCTTCAGAAAGATGCGATGGCTGTGTACAATGCGAGAGTGGGTAAACGCGGGGGGGAGACGAAACTCACCTCGTTGCTTGAGGCGCAAGAACGGGAAGAGTTGAGCCGGAAGTATCGCGAAACTATCGAGAACGTTTTGAAGAGCTGCAAAGGGAGAAAGAAGACCGTCGAAGAACATGCCAATACCGATCGACCACCTGCTAGAATGAACGCAAAGAAGAGCAGCGGTGATCAATCCGTCTACAATAATAATAATAATAATAATAATAAAAATTACTTCAATTACGGAGCGACGAAAAGTCCGGCAGGACAGCTGGAACACTATCAAACGATTTTGAAGGCGACGCAGCTTCTGGTTCAAAAAGAGCGGCAAAAAGCGTTAGTTATGAAGATATTGCAACACGCGCCGAGAATTCCGGACACGCCGTCAGACTTTGAGGCTCTCATCAGCGGCAAAGATGCGTGTCTGAAGTATAAGCCTCCTCCTGTTCCGGAATTCGTTCCTCCTCCACCTCCGGCGGATGCCCGAGAGCATAAGCATCCATATAGTAACGACGATCGAGGAACGAAGCGCATGCGTAACATCAACGATCTGAACGATTCGCTCCCAACGATGTTTTCGTACGATAATAAGAGAGCAAAGTCGAACGCTGACAGTAGATCCAGGTCGGCAGCGAAGAAGCGCGCCGCCTTGCAGTCGCCGGAGCAGCTCGCGAAAAAGCAAGATTTCCAGCGAAGACAACAGCAATATTTCCAACTCCAGCAGCAGCAGCTTCACCAGCAACCGAAAAAGTTACACGCATCGACGAGAGCATACAAAGAGAGACGCCCAGCGGATAAGATCAGCCCAGAATTTGAGAAAGCGCTCATGAAGAAGAAACAGGAAACTCAAGCGATGCACAGTGACATTGGGGCTATGGATGGTTTGTTGAAGCTCGCGCATGCGGCGAATGTGAGTAACGACACACAGCGGTTGCAGCAACAAGACTGGGCGCGAGCGAACGCGATGCTCAAAGAGGAGTTGAAGCGCGCGAAAAAGGCTGAAGAAGACCGTCTTCAACTTCAAATATTACAAGAAGAGCGAGAGAGGGAAAAACGACAAACCGTATCGATGTCGTCGAATGACGGTTCAATGCAGATCAACGAGGACGGCATGCACGAAAACTCGGCTCGCGCCTATTCAGAAGCCCTCGAGCAAGCGCGCGAAAATCCCGGGGCTTTTCTTAGAAGGAAAGAAGAAGAGGTGAAGCCGAAAAAGACGAAAAGGCCAACGCCTCCGGCGCTGTACGTGCAAAAGTTGCTCGAGATGCAAATGCAGCAAAAGCTCGCCAAGTTACGAAACAATAACCACGTGCAAGCGGTGAAAGATGGCGCCACACGTGCGAACGCCGATATGATGGCCGTAGCAGCGTCAATTCCGAGTCCAAATTACTTCGGTATCGATGCGGCGCCGGTTGTGAAGCTACCTCCTCCTCCTGTTATTCATACGCTCCCTACGAACGTCGGCAATCCGAACCTGAGCGCGCTCGACGAACAACAACGCATTGAAATGTTGGTGCAAGCTCGCGTTCAACAAGAACTTATGCAACATCGCGCGGGTCTTCCATCTATCATTACGCAAGTTCAGCAACAGTTACCGCCGCAGCAGATGCCGGAGCAGTCCCAGCGAGCGATTCTTCAACCGCAACCGCAACCACACGCGCTACAAACGACGATGCGGTCGTTCGACACGGCTCAACAAAATATTCTGCAAGCAGGCTTTCAAAATGATTTACCTCAAAGCGATGGTTACAGTAAGCAGTTGGAAAACGTTTCGAAAAATCTCGGGGCGCCGAAGCAGGTGGCGTATACCAAAGCCGTGTCAGAGCTCGCCGATGTGAATGTCAAACGCGCGCGCGAGTTGGGGATCAAAGATGATAGTTCTGACGAAATACCAGGTTCTGATGTGCGTATCAATAACATCGATAGCAATGTTCTCCCCTCTGACGCTCCAAAGAAGACAGTCGTCGATATGGAAATGGTAATGAAAGCGATCAAACGCCATGCGGCGCAAGACGGAGTTTTCAAGCAGCTCAGATCTATCTACGACAAGAACGTCGCGGAATTTTTGCGCGTGAAGAATGGCGGCGTACCAGCGGTGACATCGACGGAGAAGGATAGTAGTGTCCCTCCACCGGTGCCGATCACCCCGGCTTGGACAAAGACGATGATGGAAGCCGAACGCGCTCAACAGCAGCAAACTGAAATGTTGATAAACTTGATTAAAGTGCAAATGAAAGCTGCGGAGGAGGCGCCGAACGAAGGAGACTCTGTGGAAGCGTTGAGTAGAATGTTGAACGCGTTGAACCAACGTCAGCAACAACCGCCTTTGATTAACCCGTTCGAAGGCATGACGGAAGAAGAAATAGAGGAAGAAGAAAAACAGGCGGTGAGGGAGGTACCGCCGAAGACGACGAAGACAGCACCCGTTGCGCCGAGAGTACCAGCCCAACCACTGATACAAAGGCCAACCATTGTTGCAAAAACCGTTGAAGCGAAGACGATAGAGGGAGACGAAGAAGCGACGACCCCTCCGATTCAAGAGCCAACGCAAACGGTCGAAGAGCGTCCGTTCTCGGACGCGGAAAACGAAAAGGAGAAGAGAGACTGAATGAACAAGAATTTGCTCGCACACGCGAAGGAGAACAAAGAAACAATAAAGAACACAATCTGAAACAATGATTGTGGTTGTGGTATATAATAATAAATATAGCAGAGATGATGATGATGATGCGGTAGTCACTTTTGTATAAATCTATTCGTGTACCACTCACAAACAACAGTTAAACTGTAGTAAACGTCGCGTGTAATTCCTTTCTTGCTTTCTTTCTTTTATTAAAAAGCACTGTGGATGATGAGATGAAAAACAAGAGAAGAAGAAAGAAAAAGAAGAGAGAAAGAAGAATTAAAAAAACTCTCCAGACTGGGCTCTCCAGAGTGGGCTTACATAATTATCTAGGAATTACAACTTTCTAAAACGTGCCACACAGAATGTGGCGGGTGATATGTTGGTTTCAAAAAGCGGTTTTGAGCCCCGCGGAACGGAGTCGCGACGGTCCACCACGCCGTCTCATGGAAACATAAGACTTCGCCTCAGCGGTACTGAGACTTTGAAACGGGTTTTAGTAGTGCCGCCGACTAAAATACGCATATGGACTTAAACATATGGTATTTTCAATGATATATTTCAATCAAAAATCAACGTACTTCACCTATCAAAGTTTCTTCGATCGATCTCATGAGAGCTGAGAGTCATGATAGGCTGAGCATCGCAAATGGATGCTCGAGAGACGTTGTGTTGTCACATGTTTCTGCAATCCCAAAAAAAAGGAGAGAACTCTCGATTTTAATCGATACAAACTCCCAGGCGCCTATGCCAGGGGTAAAATCCCGTCTGGAATTCTTTCCCAAAAAAAAAAAATGCTCTTTCCTCCATGTGTCGTCGTTGACTTCTTCTTCGATGAAGAAGAGAGAAGATATGCAATAACACGACGACAAAGAAAAGAACACAAAAAAGGGAGAAACTCGCCCGCGCAAGTCAAAACTCCCCGTACTCGAACCCCCTTTGTCCGTTCTTTCCCAGCTCTTTTCATTTTTCATTCATCTGCCGTGCGATAGAGAGATACAAAAACGCTCGATTTGTATCTCTAAAACAGAAAGAAAGCAAACGATGAAGAAAAGAGCTCCCACCCTTCCACCCACTATCATCGATAGAGGTCTATCGATGATAACAATACGTGTGACTTTCTCGCGCGCGTGCGCGCGCGCACGCAAAAAAAAAAGTGATATTATATGCGCGCGCAAATGCGCGCAAATGCGCGCAAATGCGCGCGCGAGAAAGTGAAGAGGAAATGAAAAAAAAATGCGTTTTTAGATACAGATACAAAAGTTTCTCTTTCTCTTTCTTTCTTTTTCTCTTTCTCTTTCTCTTTCTCTTTCCATAAGCTTCAGCCCTTCATTTTCTTTTTTTTTTCTCTCCTTTTTTTGAGGACAGACAGGCGACAGGTGGCTTCTGCCACCTTGGCTTTTTTTATCCACTAATCTTTTTATCTTTCTTCATAACTATTCGTTCTGTTGCTCTTCGTACGTAGATACATATTAACACACACACAAACGAAAGAACGTGATACGGTACCATAATAATAACAAACAATGATGAGTTTTACGCAAACCGCGCCGCAAACGTCGGCTTTTTTTACCGGCGCGTCTAAGATGATGAACGCCTCTCGAAGACAATCATCAAAGACGTCATCCAGCTCATCGTCTCATCATCAGAGAGCAGCGGCGGTGAGATTCAACACTATCGTTCGCGCGGAGGGCGAAGAATCTTCTTCTAAACCGTCTGAAACGCCAATCGCACCGGCTGGGACGCCAGTCAGAAAGACGTCCATGTTGGTCATTGGTGCCACGGGGACTTTAGGTCGCCAAGTCGTTCGAAGAGCTTTGGACGAAGGCTACGACGTGAGGTGTTTGGTGAGACCGAGACAGAACCCGGCGGATTTTCTCAGAGATTGGGGAGCGACCACGGTTTCAGCGGATTTGACGAAACCAGAAACGTTACCGCCTGCGTTTGTTGGGATTCACACGATCGTGGACGCGTCCACGGCGAGACCGGAGGAGGACTCGTACGCCATCGACTGGGAGGCCAAGAAGAATACGATTCAAATCGCCGCCGCGATGGGCATCCAAAAGTACGTCTTTTATTCCATCGACAAATGCGAAAAGTACAGAGACGTGCCGTTGATGAATATGAAGTATGCGGTTGAGGAGTATTTAAAAGCGAGTGGGATGAACTTTGTCGTGTTGAGACTGTGCGGGTTTATGCAGCCGTTGATTGCGGGCTACGCCGTGCCGGTGCTGGAGGAGCAATCTCTGTGGGGTACCGACGACGACACGAAAACGGCGTACTTGGACACGCAAGACGTGGCACAAATGACCATGGCAGCGGTGAGAAGAGAAGAAGCGAATGGGAAGGTGTTGACGTTAGCCGGGCCAAAAGCGTACACGGTGAACCAAGTCATTCAACTTTGCGAAAAGTTAGGCGGTAACGAAGCCAAGGTGAGCAAAGTGCCGGTGCTTTTGTTGAAATTCACGAGAGGCTTGACGAGATTTTTCCAGTGGACATCGGCGGCTTCGGACCGTTTGGCGTTTGCGGAAGTCTTGAGCTCGGGCGTGGAATTTAACAGCGATAAGATGGCGGAGACGTACGAAATTTTAGGCATGGACGAAAGCGAAACGACAACTTTGGAGCAATACATGGAGGAATACTTCTCGAAGATTTTGAAAAAGTTGAAAGAAGTTGGCGGAGAGAGTAGACAGAGAGATTTTTATTTGTAAATCATCACATCAGTCCTTCGCACCTTTCTTTGTATGTCAAAGAGCGTGCGATGAGTAAAACGCATTAGGAGAAGAAGGAAGATGAGCGAAAGAGAGAGAGAGAGTCTTCGTTCTTGGAAAAAAAAAGTAATATAAAGATCAAACAATACATGTCGCGAATATATATAATACACCGTTTGTACGTACACGCGTCTTCTGGTGAACTACATAAAGCTGCGACATCTATCTATTCGTCTGTAGGCTCTTCCCACTTCTTTTCTTTGGTCTTTTCATTGAACCAGAATTTCTGAGACGTCTTCTTACTCTCGATCTTGATCCAATCGGTATTACCGTGCCGCGTCGACGTGACTCCGTTAAACATCGGAGTTTCTCGTGTTTTTTCATCAGAGGATACTTTTTCGGTAGCTATGCGAGAACTTACCACGTTATCGTTGTCTTTATCGTCTTCTTTTCCTCCACTTTTGGCAGCCGCTTTCTTCTTCTTCTTCTTCTTCTTTCCTACTATTTCTGGATTTTTTACATCTTGATCTTCTTCTTCTTGTTTCACCACTTCTTCTTCTTCTTCTTGTTTCACCACTTCCTCTTTTTCTTGCTCGACTTCTTGTTCGTGTTGTTGTTGATCCTCTTCTTCATCCTCATTTTCTTCATCTTTCTTCTTCTCTTGAGCGATACAGTTAGGTCTATCTTTTGGTTTTGGAACATCGTTGGGAAGATCCAATGGCGGGGGCGGCGCCGCCGCAGCCAAGCTGATCCCGGCTACTCCGGCGTTCAAAAACTCTCCGCCACCATCGGTGTCGTCAAAAGCGTCCGCTACTTCAGTTGGTGCTCTTCCACTCCTCAACGCCACCGCTACATCGTACGCTCTCCACTCCGCGTACTCCGCTCTCTGCCGTAAATCCTGGTTAAAATCGCACCCTTGCTCTTTATACGGCGTGAAAATTTGGCTCTCCAAGCAATACAAAAACGCCGCCGACGCGTCAAAGGCGTCCACGAGCTCTCTCGTAAACATCTTTCGTCGGTCTCGCTGATCCGCGCGGTCGTACACGGAAAGTGCAAATCGCTTCACTTTCGCAAAATCAATCGACGGATGCGAGGTTATCTTCTTCGTTCGCTTTTGTTTCTGTTGTTTTCGGTAGTTGGAATATTTGAAGAGTACCGTACGTTAAGGCAACCAATAATACTAAAAGTCAAAAACGAGAGAGAAAGAAAGAGCGTTTGGGTTTAGACGCAGAGAAGTCTCGAGCGCAAGCGAACGAACGAACGAACGAGGTCTGCTCAAAAGATTTTCTCGTTCGACGAAACGCTCGCGCACCTCCAACTCTCCCAACAGTTTCTTAATCAAATCTATCGGCCGAGGGGACATCTCCATCGCGAGTTCCACCGCTCTCAATTTACAATAATACGACGTCGTCGGTTCGTGTTTCGCGATTTCTTCCCCTCTGCGAAGGAATCTTGAGATTGAACGATCCTCCTCCGTGTCCTCTCCCTTCGTTGTTGTTGTTGTTGTTGTTGTTGCACTCATACTGTGTGTTCTGTAAAGTGTTCCTGAGAGAGAGAATTTGTTCTGACGAGAGACTTCACACAGACACCTCATTGACAGGTCTGGCTTCCTTAGGGAAAATCC